GTCAGATAAAGTAAACGCAAGTGATTGAGTTTTGGTTTCTTCACTTCTGCTTTTGAGCAAAAGTACGCCAACGGTTGCCAAAACAAATCAAATGGCCCCTTCAAAGTGTTACAAAATAAAACCATCTAAAAAAATTCACTCAAAATCCACAACCTATTGGGATCCTAGAACTATAAATACTGGGATCAAACACTGTGATTGCAAATCGAGGGCAAAGGCAGCTACTTATAAACGAACTTGGTACAGAATTGGCGTAGATGGTCCGAAGAGCGTATCGGATCACAGTTTAACGCTTGATAAGCATGAATGCTAACGCTCCATAAAAACTTTGCGGGCATCATGCTCTATAGTAAGTGGGAGTGCTGCTGGACCTGTGTTCCTCAGAATATAGGTATAAATCCGGTGGCGTTCAAACAAATCGGGCTGTCTTCTGATAATCGCTTGGTTTCGACCATCTTGACTTTTTATTCTTGACTATGAGGCAGGACGGATCTCCTTCTTTTGAAGGAAAAAGTGTTGATGATCTTAATATCGATCTGACTTTTTATATATGTAGGCCCTATGACTTAAAGGGAATGTACAACATTTGCTTTTGCTGCGTGTTCTTGCAGTCTGGTTCCCTGACCCCACTTAAGATGAAACGGAGCAATGTATACATGTATATCTTTAGGGAATTGTAGGGTCAGAGAAGCAGTCTAGCAGGCTTGTACCCTTTTCACAGGTGTGTAATCAATTGCAAAGAAAATGCGAAATAACTGAATATGAAAGTTTAGAAGCAGTTTTTGAAAACAGCCAGTTTTATCCAACGCTGGTCGATCGGCGGACCAGCGTTGGAAAGAATTTTTCTTGAAAATGTCAGCACACCAGGAGCCACGATTTTACAGGATGCTTGAGACTGTCATTCCCTAACAATCCAGTAAGGTATTTCGCGATAATTTGATCATTTCGTTTTTTGATGTTTGCAAATGTTGTATCTTCCCTTTAAAGCTTTGCATGTCGGATGAGATAAAGTAGAAAGATTGCGGGTTACACCCATGTGGAAAGTAATGTCTTCTTGAAAAAAGTGAATCGTCTCCTCGCGGGCATCATGTTTAAGGGGAACTGCTGCTGGACCTAAGTTCCTAAGAAATCAATGCAGATCTTAATCCGGTGGCGTTCCAACAACGGGTCGTCTTCTGATAACGGCTTGGTTTCGACTGTCATGCCTTCTTTTTTTTTAAACAGCATTTCTTTCTTTGTCTGTGTTGGCCTTTATGGTTCAGTTTTAACTTTTTCTAAAGAAAGTATACTTTTGTGGAACACATCAGTTTCAGAGGGCGTAATGTTTTTTTTCCGCTTTGTGAGAAAGCAGGTATATCAGCAGGTGTAGATTCGGTACTCGTACTCGAGTACTACTCGAGTACTGTTTTGGAGCACTCGTACTCGTACTCGCACTCGAATGTCAAAGTACTCGTACTCGAAATGACGGTACTCGTACTCGGGCAACAAAGTACTCGTACTCGACATGTCAAAATTGTACTCGATCATTAAAGTACTCGTACTCGAATAGCAGTACTCGGGATGGTTGCTTGGCTTGTGGAGAAATCGAGATTTCCTGATTTCCCTCTGTGCCAACCGGGCAAACACATTTAACAGCTAGCCGTGAGATGGTCTGTATATCGGTCTGACTGGGCCTGGGCCAATTATGCACAATATGAACCTTTTGCCGTATGGCCGTATTCGGAAGTACATGTACTCGTACTCGGAGACCCGTTCTTGTACTCGGAGGTACAAAAATTAATACTCGTACTCGTATTCGGCAACCTAAGTACTCGGCAGTACTCAGTGCTCGGAAAAAAGTACTCGACTACAACACTGCGTTCTAATGACCGGTTCGTTCGTTTTGTGGATAGGTATAAATCCGGTGGCGTTCACTGGTCGTCACCTACACCGTTCCACAAGGAACCCACTGAAACAACACTTCTACGCGGCCATCAGGCTTCCACCAAGTAGAACGTCTGCTGGACCTGAATTCATTTGGACGCAGGTATAAATCCGGTGGCGTTAAACCACGTCTTCTGATAACCGCTTGGTTTCGACCGTCGTGCATTTTTTTTCTTAAAAACTTTACATATCATGTTTAATCATCAACATTCAAATAAACGTACGTCTTCTGATAATCGCTTGGTTGCGATCTTCGTGATTTTTTTTGTCTGAAAAGTCGATTTCCTTCTCTTTCCGGGTTTTAAGTTTGAGTTATTTCGTCGATTCGTTGTGTATAAGACCAGTACATGAAAATCATGAGGCGCTGAACAAGGCAAATAACAAGTTGAATAAAGGAATAGGGCGAGCCAAGTCATTCACCATGCCATAGTTGACACGATATATAAAATCGAATGTTTATTGAAATAATCTCCATTTTGAAAGTATCAAAGTTTCAGTTTGTAATAATTGTTTGATATTGTTTATTTCAGTCACATATCCCTAAGTACTCAATAAAGTTGTATTTCACTACACGTTCCTCAAGACATGTTCCTCAAGGAACCCAAGGAAACAAACTTCACCGCAGTTATACCATCATTCTTCCATCAAGAACTGCTGAGTTCCTTTGGACGCAGGTATAAATCTGGTGGCGTTCAAACGAACGTCTTCTGATAACCGCTTGGTTTTAACACACTATACGCGACTGCTGGTTGTGAGTATGAGACAATCTCTTAGATTAAAGCCTAGTGGATGAATCCTTTGTATCTATTAAAGATTTTAGAGATCATGCTTCACTGCTCTTGGTCGTGGTAACAAAGGGAAAATGACTGACCGTGTGCTGCAGTATGCGCAGTCTGTCTCATGCGCATGTTGGTCTGAGAGTATGCGCAGTCTGTCGCATGCGCATGTTGGTCTGAGAGTGTTGCACTTCGTAGGTGTCAGTAATCAGAAGTTCACAAACGCTAGTTTCTTTTGATTTTCCTCTGTTATTGAACATAATACGCCATCAGCTGTCTCAAAAAGTTGAAAATCGTGTCCTTAATGTTACAAAATGAAAAACGATGAAGAGATTTTACCCAAAACCCGCGAAAATGTGGGTTCATAGAAATTCAATATTGCGTACTGTGATTACAAATTGAGGCCAAATGCGGTGCTTATAAACGAACTCTGTCAGCTTATAACGCAGATGGTCCGAGGAGCACATTGGATCTCGAATCTGCTTGAAAACCTTGATGATAAATTACCCGCGCCACTTGTTTCACCTACACCGTTCCACAATGAACCCAACCAATGAAACAACACTTCTACGCGACCATCAGGCTTCCACCAAGTAGAACGTCTGCTGGACCTGAATTCATTTGGACGCAGGTATAAATCCGGTGGCGTTAAACCACGTCTTCTGATAACCGCTTGGTTTCGACCGTCGTGCATTTTTTTCTTTAAAAAGTTTACATTAATCATCTTTAATCATCAACATTCAAATAAACGTCTTCTGATAATCGCTTCGTTTCGATCTTCGTTTCGATCTTCGTGATTTTTTTGTCTGAAAAAAAAGTACGGATTTCCTTCTCTTTCCGGGTTTTATTTGAGTTTTTTCATGGATTCGTTTGTGTATTAGACCAGTACATGAAAAGCACGAGGCACTGAACAAGGCAATTAACTTGGACAGAGGTAGGGCGAAAAAAGACATTCACCATGCCTTAGTTGACACGATATATAAAATCGAATGTTTATTGCAATAATCTCAATTTTGAAGGTATCAAAGTTTCAGTTTGTAATTGTTTGATATTGTTAATTTCAGTCACATATTCCTAAGTACTCAATAAAGTTGTATTTCACTACACGTTCCTCAAGACATGTTCCTCAAGGAACCCAAGGAAACAAACTTCACCGCAGTTACCATCATTTTCCATCAAGTACAACTGCTGCTGGACCTGAGTTCCTTAGGACGCATGATGTAAATCCGGTGGCGTTCAAATGACCGGGTCGCCTTCTGATAACCGCTTGGTTTCGACAGTCGCGGATTTTTTTTACTCCCATTGGAGAAAAAAATTCCATTTCTTTTTTTTAAAGGATTTTCCTCTTTTTTCGTTTGTGCAGAAGACCAAGGGGAAATAAGCATAGTTCCTGCGATATAAATCGAACGATTATGCAAACGTTTTATAAAGAATAAAACTGAGTTGGAGTTTGTTTTTGTTTTACATTACATGTAATCGTAAATCGGTCGCACATTTTTTTTCAAACATTCTTTAACATGAAATTCATTTTGAGACATTCTTTTGGTATTAAAGCCTTGATATGAATCTTTTATAAACCAAAGATGAGTTGCGATGAAAATGTTTTAGCGATGCATGCTCCAAGTGATATTTACATTCCGATCACACAACAGAAGTCGTTAAAATATTAAGCGTCCTAACATGTTCCTACAATAGCAAATGAATATATATTACAATGCGGACCTTCTTGTTATTACATTACGGGTCTGATTACGGTCATTACATTTACGGGTCGCCTCAGTTTTTACATTTCGTTACAAAATACACCGAAATTCGTAACGAATATAATTACACGACGGTTGGTATTAATTACTTTAGCCCTAAATTGGGTTAATTTGAGCTCATAGTTAAGAGCACAAATAGTAATCCGCCCAGGCGAAAAAACTGATATTTCTGCAGCCATTTCTTCGTTTTTGTGACCAATCAGGTATCTACCTATCTTATTCTATCTTCCTTTTTTTATTCAGGCTGTTTGAAATTAATTAAAGTGTGTTTTAGTTTACAGAGGGCGTAACTAACCATGTGGGAAAACATAAAATTCACAAGAACATTGCAGATAGTAGATATATAAACTTGGCTACCAGTTCTTTCAGCGTGATTATTTTAGAGAGCTGATATTTACTACGTGTACCAATGATTCTGAAATTTGTTCCGCGCTGAATTTATGAACGGACGTGCACAAGTCTAACTGATTAAATAGTCTTCACCGCATCGTACTGCACTGGTGTCCTTCGTTATGTGCGATTCACTTCCCACTAGTGTGTCATGCGCCAAGTACCAATTAATAATATGGCCGTCACCGTCCTGCAAAATTTCTCGTGACTTTGCACGCTGATCGCCTTGAAAACACTCATTTTTGCAAAGGAAGATGAGCGGTATCGGCTCGCTCAACTCAACATGAATCGCCACCAAGTGTTGACGGGTGCTGTCAATCCTGGTGATCGTTGTTTTGCTGTTGGATACGTTGAAGGCGTTCCTTTTACGGTAAGTAATGGACTGATCAGCCCCGCCTCCACGATCAGCAGTAGGCCTATGTGTTGTGCACAGTAGCGTGTACGGTGTGCATCAGCATGGTACTTTGGTGGTGCACTGCTTGTTGTGTGTGTATTCTCGAGACATGAGCGAAACAAATTGGTCAAAATTAGAAAAACAGAAAGATGTCATGAATTATTTTGCATTCACAATGGATGAATAGAATATACTTGAGGTATTGAGATACTCTACGTTTACATTTCGAGAGATTTTCTAGTTGAATAAAATACGTTGAAAGTTCAGAAAACTCACCACAATCCTGCCCTCCACTGGCTCCAGGCTCTTGATTTGTCGTCGCTGACACGCTCGACCCAGGGCAGCCGGGATGCTAATTTGCTTCACAATACTTGCATGCGGGTTTGACGAAACCCCTCGTCTTCTACAACAAAGATTTTGATTGGCCAATTTTCTAATATAGTTATATCAAAAACACAGTGCCTTACGCCAATCAGCGCTATTGTTTTATGCTAATGATGGTTTAAGCTACTTGAAGATGTGACGTCAGCAACGGCCCGCGCACTGTCCAATGACAAGCCGCGTGCTTTTATTGAGGGCGCTGTCTATTTCATTCATAAATGCAGGGTTGTAAAACCTGCGGTCTACGTATTAAACCATTCCTCCATGATTAAACTAATTCATCATGATTTATGTCAGGAATCACAATCAGTGATTAAAGTTACTATGACAATGTATGATGGCCAATTCATGGAATAGGTACTGCTCGGCTGGAAAGAATTCCATATCAAGACATCACGCATTCTCCACCAAACTTCCAAAATTACACCTCACCTTGATTGTGTTGAAGCCTTTTATCGCAAATAGCAAAATCCGAGAGCATCACGGGAAGACTCATGGCTTAACACGGTGACGACGACTTGCGCATTCTAACACGACGTTCGTGTGTGGTTCGTAATCTTTGCCCCCTATCCTGCCCATATAATGCTTTGCGCAGCAGTGTATTTTTGCTATTTGCGATAAGGCTTCACTTAAGACAAATCCATTAAGCTTTGGAAAATTGAAAACCTCGGTGGAAAATGTGTTTTAAGGCCATAGGGCCTTTTTTGAGTACACGATAATCGTACAGACGACCCATCCTGAAGGCAACCTAGCCCTGCATCTGTACATGTACAACTGGCTCTCTTTTAACATTGGAATAATAATACTATCGCCATTACAGCCCTGCTTGACTATGATATGGTGGCTAAAAACATGAAGTGTCACAAACCCATTCATGTCTTAAATTTTGCAAATTCACGTCATAAATTTTGCAAATTAATTTGACAAAGCCATTTCAAGATTGTTGTTAAATAAATAGGCCTACAATCCTACATGTTTACCGAAGTATTCTTTGTTATAAATATAACGTAAACTTTTTCTTTAGCTAGTATTACTAAATTATAAGTAACATTTATCGCAGAGGCTATCGTTACGGCAGTCGACTATCTGGTTCCCTGACCTGGCAATATTCAACTTCATGATCTTTGGCTCTTGAAACCAGACTATCAACCCAATAGTTCTCAGACTTTATATTTCCCTTAAAAGAAAAATCTTCCAAAACCTAGGATCACTAAGAAAAAAAAATGAAATCTACTAACATACATAAAATAATTAGAATAAAGTAGAATTTGATTAAAACATAAACTATAGAAAACTATTGGAAGGACAAAACATAAATTGTTGATTGGCGCAGTATGAGGCGGCAAATTGAAAGCTGCATACATTTACATAAGTGTATGAAAACTGGCCTACTGTGGAGAAAGTTTAAATAATTAAAGGTACACACATTGATTGAGGATTCAGAAGGTTTGGAATGATAACACTTTAACTAGAAAAATTAAGGGCGGTCCTTGTATGCAAAATGCTGTTTCAAATAAACTCGAGGGAAAAAAGGAAAATCCTGAAAAACAATCCGTAATTACACATGTATGCAAACATCTATGCCAATGCAACTATGCACGTGTGCATGTATACAGGTTTACAATTTTAAAAACACTAAAGATGCAGACACCATAAATATATTAAAATTTCAGCCTGGCGGAAAATAATTACATAGCTTTCAAAGATAATGTGCGACAAGCATGTGTGATTTGCAAGATGCGCTGTCACCCACCTTAACAAAATGAGAATGAAAGTGCCTGAGGTACATGTAATTTTGCATTACAACTCCCTCAAACAAATCTTGCACAATGGTAATCAATAGGAACTGTCACCGTTTCATCCAGATGTCCATATTCATCACGATGTCAAACCCAGTGATGTATCAAAATGAAAGAAAAAATGAAAAGAGTTGTTCAGTTGGATGTATTGAGTTCAAGAGATACTGTTTCTAGTAGGTAGGTGTGGGCAGTGGTACATCAGCCAGCAAACGCATCTTTGCATTTGAATAACATGCAAGTTTTCATTGGCTGTTACACAGACTCAAGAAGCATTCAGTTACAAGACAATGGGTCTATGAACAAGATAAGGAAATGTCAAGATTTCCTAAATGTCTGCGGCCACCTATCAGGGGCGGAAAAAGGCTGGGACCTTGTGTGCACACAAAGATGCAAAACAAAATCTGGCCAACTTTACTCACTATTTACGGTCACAAATTTCTTCAAAAATTTCAGGTGAGGCAAGGGCAAGGTTTTCAGTATTTCACCAGCCAAGTTTGAAGTCTCAATTCAATTTTTAAACAAGACTTTTCTTAAACATTTTGCAATTGAGAGTGAGGGCTAGTAGGTAGGTGTGGGCAGTGGTACATCAGCCAGCAAAAGCATCTTTGCATTTGAATAACATGCAAGTTTTCATTGGCTGTTACACAGACTCAAGAAGCATTCAGTTACAAGACAATGGGTCTATGAACAAGATAAGGAAATGTCAAGATTTCCTAAATGTCTGCGGCCACCTATCAGGGGCGGAAAAAGGCTGGGACCTTGTGTGCACACAAAGATGCAAAACAAAATCAGGCCAACTTTACTCACTATTTATGCTGACAAAAATCTCCAAAAATTTCAGGTGAGGCAAGGGCAAGGTCTTCAGTATTTCACCAGCCAAGTTTGAACTCTCAATTCATTTTTTAAACGAGACTTTTCTTAAACATTTTGCAATTGAGAGTGAAACCCCATGAGGGGGGAGGGGGTGTTGCAACCACACAATCCCCCCCCTTTAGATCCACTACTGCCTAGATGTAAAACTATGTACCGGTATGTCATCGATCTGGTCATTTTCATGCTACAGTAATAAGGCCCACCATCAGTCTATGGCATCTGCACTTGAGTTTTACAGAATGAGCCATTTGTGAATTAAATTTGAATAACATCTGGCACACTGACTTGCTGAAATGCTTAGCACATTTTAACTTTGAATTGGCCAGACCAAAGACACTGTTGCTATGTCACGTGATTCGAGGCAAGCCTTGCGCTAGCAACCCCCAGCTCTGGAATGATCTGGAGCCTTAGTGCCATCCTCACTCATTGGACACAATGTATTGATGCTGAGGGTCTCTTACGTAACTATGCAAGAGCTTGCAATAGCAATGCAAGCCTTGCATGTTGAGCTTGTGATATAGCAACACAGTGTCTATTTGGTCTGGAGAATTCAAAGTTAAAATGTGGCAATCATTATTGAGCAAGTCAGTGTACCAGATGTTATTAAAATTTAACTCGCAAAGGGTAGGTTATTCGCAAATGGCTTATTGTGCGATCTCTAACCTTTAAGGCGACGGGATGTGTACATGGACACACATTTGAAAGGAGGGGCCTGGTCTATGCATTTGGATCTTGTTTTATCCAATTTTGGTCCACTTCCAACATGTCCAAGTATGTACATGTACTTATCTTAAAGGGAATAGGCCTATACAACATTTGCAAACATCGAAAAATAAAACTACCAAGTTGATACGAAATACCTTACTAGGATGTTGGTAAATGACAGTCTAAAGCATCCTGTAACATTATGGCACCTGGTGTGAAGTCATTTCAAGAAAATGGTATTTTTGTATACATTTCCAACGGTGGTCGGCCAACCGCCATTGGAAATACCTAACTATTTTTCAACTACTGCTCCAAATTTACCTTTTTTTCAGTCGAAATTTTGTTTGCTATTGGTTACATGTTCATGAACGGGTGCAGGCCAGCTAAACTGGTTCCCTTACGGTACCTTACAATTTTCCGGCATATATAAATTGATACATTTTATCATTAGTGGAGTCAGGGAACCAGACTACTTGAACTTTTTTGTTTTTATTGGTTTTTCCAGCATTTTCGAACACAAAACTTCAAACGTGTCAGTGTAACAATATTTGATCTATTATACTAACCCCTGAAATAGTTCATTTCTGAAAATTACAGCAAAAGCCAATGATGTACATTCCCTTTATAAAGTAAACCCATTAGTCCCCATACCACCCCAAAGCACCCTGTCTATTACCGGTACTCCTCCTAATGCCCAGAACCGCCCCAGCTCTCTAGTGTTTATTTTTGAATTCATCAAGGAATGAGGTAAATTACAGTGTAGTACAGTGTAATACAAGTACTCAGGATTGCCCCTGTACCTTTTTTATTGGGGGGGGGGGGGGAAATAATAATTCTCAGTTGGCTAACATGCAAAACCAAACGCTTAAGTTGAATAATGGCTCTTTTTTGTTCTTCATAAAACTAGAACATCAGTTCCTACATAGTATGTAAGTCATGTAACAGTGACCATGCAGTGACTAGGCTGAATCTATTATTTTTATCAAAATTTTGCACAAAGTCCTACATGTGCACATTACATAGATGTTATATCAGTTTTATTTGTGGGGCACGTGTACTTCGATACACATTAATGTCATTTTCAATTCTTGTGTATTATTATGTGTACATTTATTCATGTGTACAGTGAACATGGACATTTTGAAATCAGTCATTGTTTGCATCGATTGTTTTCATCAATCAAAAACTACTCTTGTACTTTCGTGGTTAAACCAATTG